TTCTTTGCTGTAAAATTATTATTTTTCCCTCTGTAGCTAAGAAATGCAGTGAGGAAGATACTTTGGTGCTTCTGAAACCACGAAGGAAGCAGAGTGTCAAGACTCAAGTGGGGTGAAGAAAGAAGACCCCCGTGCTAACCTAATTGCAAGGAGGCCACGGTGACTGTTAGTGTCAGATAAAACCAAGGTCAATTCAAACAATCATTATTTCACAATGATAAAGGGTCAGTCAATAAAGAAGACAGAGTAATCTGAATATAGGACTTCAAAATGCACAAAGCAAAAACTGGTAGAAATGAAGGAAAGCAGACATTAAATCTACAGTCACAGAGATATCAATACCCATCTCTCAGTAATTAATAGAGCAAATAGAAAATTGGCAGTAATGTAAAATTGTAGACCCCCACTATCAGCAGACTTGACCTCATCAACACTTCTAAAACATTCCACTGAGCAACCATAGAGCACATTAAATACACATATAACAATTATTAACACAGCCCACTTTTTGGGCCATAGATGAACCTTAACAAATTTAAAAGGACCCTAAGCATACAGAGTGTGCTCTGTGATGATGGATTTAAATCAATAATTAAAAACAGAAAGATCTCTGGAAAATCCCCAAATACCTGGAAACAAAATAAAACATTTCTAAATCCATGAGTCAAAAAAGGAATCAAAAGGTAAATTAGAAAGTGTTTCAAACTTAGTGAATTTCATTACAAAATCCTGAGATGTAGCTAAAGCAGGACTTGGAGGGAAATTCATAGCACTAAAATGCCTGTACTAGAGAAGAAGAAAAGTCTCAGACCAGTGAGCTCAACTTTCAGTGTAAGAAACCAAAAAACAGAAAATGAAGAGTTTGCTTAAACTCGATGTAAGCAAAAGATCAGAATGGCTGTCAACTGGGAAAGAAAAGAAAATAAAGAAATCAATGAAACTAAAAACGGGTTCTTTTAAAATATCAATAAAATTGATAAGCTTCTATCCTGACCGATTCGTAAAAGAAAAGAGACTCGATGCAAACAGGAATGAATTGACATCACTTCATACTGCATATGAAAAGATAACGAGGGGACATTATGAGTAACTTTATGCTGATCAATTAATTTAGATGAAACAGACAATTTCTTGAGAGAGATGAACTCCTAACATTCAGTCAAGGAAAAAGATAACCTCAGCAGCTCTAACTCTATTAAGTAATTCAACAGCATACAAAAATGGTGACACATCATAGCCAAGTGGGATTTATCCCAAGGGTTATCCCAAAGTTAACTTAACGCTTGAAAACCTGTTAATATAATCTTCCGTATAAACATACTAATTTTAAAAAAGGTTCTCAATGGATGAAGAAAAGACATTTATTTGACAACATCCAAAACGCTTCCTGATAAAAACACTCAGCAAACCAGAAATGGGAGGTACCAACCTTTAAAACAGCCAGTTATTTTACTGGCAAAATGAGTGTATTCAGGGAGAGCAGAAGAATAGCCATTTGGAATGTGGCAAACTACACTGAGCCACTGGCAGGTCCGAAGAGACAAAGGGAAGGGCAGCTTTCATCAGGTTGCAGGAGGGAGTTGGGGAGGGTTGTTTTGAACAGGAGTTTATCAGAGAAGGACAAGGGTTGGAGGTTGTGGAGTCTCCTGATCGGCAGGAAGTGGTGGTTGGTGTGTTGCTGCTGGAGCAGGGAGGGATCTTCCTTCCTTTTCTTAAAAGGAGGAGATTAAATTCCTATGGGAAAAATGTCCTCCCTCACGAGGTAATTCTTATCTTCCTTCTTCCTGCTGGTGATGAAGCTGCAGGAGTGATACATGTGTGGCAGTGTCCCTTCGGCACTTCTGACTCCATTTTCAAGAGGTTTCCTTTATTTTCACAAAGGAAACTTCCTCTTACTGATTTGAACAGCTTCAAAAGATCTGCCACCGTCATTATTACTAAAGGGCTGAATGCTTTCCCCTTAAGATCAGGACAGACAAGGATATCTGCTCTCAATCCTCCTGTTCAGCTTTGAACTAGAGGCTCCAGCCAAAGCAATCAGGCACAGATTGAAGTAAAAGGCATGCAGACAGGAAAGAAAGAATACTCGTTTTATTTACAGATAACATGATTGTATACGTAGAAAATCCTAAGGTACCTATGAAAAAGTTACTAGAACTAATAAGCGATTTTAGCAAAGTTAAGTTCAGTATACAAAAATCATCTTTATTTCTATATACTATCATTTAACAAACAGAAATTGGAATAAAGATACCATTTACAATAACATAAAATTATCAGAAATAAGTCTGACAAGAGATGTCCAAGACATGTAAACAAAAACTACAAAACATGGCTGAAAGAAACAAAAGCAGTTCTAAATAAATGAGAAGATATACCATGTTCATGGACTGAGAGACTCAATATTGTCAAGATATTAATTCTTTCAAACCAATCTATGGATTCAGTGGAATCCCAAACAAAACCCAACAGGATCTTTTGGTGGAAGTTGGCAAGCTGGTTCTAAAATTCGTGAGAAAGTGCAAAAGATCTAGAGGACCAAAAGAATATGAAAGAACAAAGCTGGGAGACTTACACTACCTGATTCAAGATTTATTATAAGGGGACACCTGGGTGGCTCAGTCCGTTAAGCATCCAACTTCAGGTCAGGTCATGATCTCACAGGTCATGGGCTTGAGCCCGCGTTGGACTCTGTGCTGACAGAGCTCAGAGCCTGGAGCTGCTTCAGGTTCTGTGTCTCCCTCTCTCTCTGCTCCTCCCCTGCTCACACACTCTCTCTCTCTCAGAAATAAATAAACATTAAAAAAAAAAAAAGAACAATTATAAAGTCAGCTTGGACAACTGGCATAAAAATAGGCAGCCGGACCAATGGAAGGCAGGGAGTCCAGAAACAGACTCACACATCTAGGACCACTGATATTAACGGAGGTTCACAGGCCCTCAGCGGGGAAGGGGCCGTTACTTCACAAACAACCCCGGAAACTGGATACCCACATGCAGAAAAAACAAACCTGAATGCTCTCTCACACCACGGACCCAAGCCAACTCAAGAGGGATGGGAGACGGAAGTGGGCACACCCAGCGTGGCACCTTCCTAGCTCGCACTCCACACGAGAAGGAGCAACCAGCGACTGCTGCATCGACGTGAGTAAACGCAACGTGCTGAGCTCGACTCCGCGCAGGAAAGTTCCAGCAAGCTCGAGCTCCGGACAGGGCCCAGCACACGGTCCTTGCCTGGGGAGGGCTGAGGGAAAGGGGAAACTGGGCTATTCACCGCCTCATTCGTGGTGACGGCTTCACGGTGCACACAGGTGTCAAACACAGCAAGTGCAAATACGCGTGTCATTACCCCACAGCAAAGCGGCTTTTGAAACGCTGAAGATGGCTCCGATGCCGCGTAAACGCTAGACCCCACCTCCACACTCCCGGCCCAGGACCCGGGAGGATCGGGGGGCAGGACCCAGCGGGGCGCAGGCGCCACCTCACTAACCGGACTCGCGGTCCGCGGCCGGCCGGCCTTCGCGAAAAGCACCGCTGCGTCTCCACGGCTCCGACGCCCAGCGACCCCAGCCTCAGAGCCGGCCGCGGGCCAGCGACTGGGGTGCGGCCCTAAGGCCCGCCTCTGGCCCCGCCCACAGCGCCTGAGACCCCACCCCACCTTCCATCCCACAGACGCCCAGATTCCTCCCAGGCCCCGCCCCGGCCCCGCCCCTCCCCCCGCCCTCGTCCCTCAAGCCCCGCTTCGTCCGGGCGTCGCCCCTCTACGGACTCCGCCCAGGCCCGGCTCCGCCCCTCCGCCGCCCCAATCCCCGCCCCGCCCCAGAGTCGGCCTTCATGTCCGCCCCGCCCCCAGCAGCTTCAGACCCCGCCCCAGGCCCCACCCTGTGATGCATCACAGCCCTGACGCAAACCCCGCCCCACCCAAGGCCCGCCCCATCGTGCCTCACAGCCCCGCCTCAAGCCCCGCCCCTCCCCGCCTCCCCGAGGCCCCGCCCCATCCCCCCCCGCGCTTCGTCCAAGCCCCGCCCCACCCCTCGGCTCCGCNGCGCTTCGTCCAAGCCCCGCCCCACCCCTCGGCTCCGCGCCTTCTTGCCCTTGCAGCTCCTCCCCCGCCGCGGGCCTCGCCCACAGGCTCCACCCCCTTCTCGCCCCTGCAGCCCCGCCCCCAGGCCCCGCCCCCGCCCCAGGCCCCGCCTCGCGGAGCCGCAGGCCGAGCGGCCGCAGAGGTGGGCGCAGGCCCGGGGTCGCCTCTGCGCCCGGGTGTGGCTCCGGGTCGGGCTCGCGCGGCCGGGAGCGTCGCGCAGAACAGCGTCCGGACGCGGCGGCGCAGGTAAGGCCCCCGCCCCGGGAGTCGCGGGGGTCGCGGGGTCGCGGGGTCGCGGGTCCGAGCGCCGCCCACCAGGCCCCGCGCGCGGCGCCGCCACTCTGCGCCCCGGCGCGGCCGCGCGCCCAGGGCTTGGCTCCTCGGTCTCGGTCTCCGTCTTTCCCCCGCACAACGGGGCTAAAGAGGGCCGCCCCCGGTGCCGCGTGCTCCGTCCTGCCGTCCTGCCGGGGCTCACAGAGAGAAGCCGTGTCTCTACCGCACCCCCCGGGGGCTGTCGGGGTGAGCGCCGCCGGCGGTGGCCCATCGGGCAGCCCCGCTCTCCGGCTTAAGAAAGCCCTGCAGCCTGGTCCTGCGCCCGGTCCCCTAGATGTGCGGTGGGTGTGTCCCGGGCTGTCCCGCTCTGGTTGGGAATCCCCGGGCACGAGTTGCAGAGACCCGCAGTGGCCGCGCGCTCCCCTGGGCCCGTGGCACCCCCCGAAGTCAGCGTGCTCCCGGGGCTCCCTGCGGGAGCACGGGCACTGATGCTGCTGGGCGCTCTCTTTTAGACCCGGGAGAACCCGCTTTGTCTGGCACGTGAGGAGGGAGAGTTCGTGTGTGTCCGGCCGTCGCCTGCGCCGCGTCGGCGGGGCGAGTGGGGAGAGCGCGGGCCCGCGGCGCGTCCCCAGGTGCGCTCGGCATGGGCCCCGTGGGCAAGAGCCCGTCGTCCCCGCCCGGCCCCGCCGGAGGGCCTTGCCTCCTCCTCCTCTTCTGCCTGCGCCTGGGCGCGTCCTGCCCGCAGAGCTGCCAGTGCCCGGAGCACGCGGGGGCGGTGGCCGTGCACTGCAGCGCCAGGGGCCTGCAGCAGGTCCCCGGGGACATCCCTGCCGACGCCGTGCTCCTGAAGCTTGACGCCAACAAGATCGCCCACGTCCCCAACGGGGCCTTCCAGCACCTGCACCAGCTGCGGGAGCTGGACTTGTCCCAGAACAGCATTGAGACCATCGGCCCCGCTGCCTTCTCGGGCCTGGCTGGGGGCCTGCGGCTGCTGGACCTGTCTCACAACCGCCTCCGCCGGATCCCCAGGGACGCCCTGGGCACGCTCAGCGCCAAGGTGCGCCTGTCCCACAACCCCCTGCACTGCGAGTGCGCGCTGCAGGAGGCGCTGTGGGAGCTGAAGCTGGACCCCGAGTCCGCGGCCGAGATCGCCTGCCACACGGCCGTGCGGGAGGAGTTCGTGGGCAAGCCGCTGATCCAGGCGCTCGACTCCGGCGTCAGCTTCTGCAGCACGCAGCGCAGGACCACCGACGTGGCCATGCTGGTCACCATGTTCGGCTGGTTCGCCATGGTGATCGCCTACGTCGTGTACTACGTGCGCCAGAACCAGGAGGAGGCTCGGAAGCACCTGGAGCACCTGAAGTCCCTGCCCAGCGCCCCCGCCTCCAGGGGCCCCGCCGGCCCCGCGCCCTAGTGCCCGCTGCCCCCGTGCCCCCTGGCACTTTTGTAGCAGACGGTGACTGGCTCCTGCCTGCAAGACCCCCGAGCGGCGGGTCCCCACAGCCCTCTGTGCGGCACCCCGCCCTTCCAGAACCCTCTCTCCCGTTGTGTTTTAGTCACCATGCCACCTTTCCAGTCCAGCGTGTTACCGTCGGGCCCACTTGACGGCCGGCAAAGCGAAGCGTGGAGAAAGGGCATTGGCCACCACGACGCAGCTGGGAAACAGCCCGGTGGGGACGTAAACCCGGCCAGCTGCCGTGATGCTCCGTGTCCCTGTACGCGGCTGGCCGCTTCCCCGTGGTGTCTGCAGGGTGTGAATAGCGGTCAGAGAAGGAAGGGCCGGCGCCCAGGAGTGTGAGGTCAGCCCGCAGAGGTGGGGTGCAGGCTGGCCTGCTGAAGGCACAGACGGCCCTACACTGCAGAGCTGGTTTGCCTCCCCACCCCCCACCCCCACCCGTAGTACTTCCTGAGCACATCTGACCGTGGAACTCTTTCCGGAGCCAAGTGGTAGAGACCAGGTTTTTCCTGAGAGGTAAGTGCCAAAGCGTAGTTCAAACCAACCTTTGAACAGCTTTGTTTATCCTCAGAATGTTTGTCAAGGGTAACATTTGTACCAAAATTTCAGTCCGGGGAGAGAGGAAAACAACCTCAACACCAAAACCCAAGAAAACCATGGACAGAAACCCGAAAAAGGCCCAGAGCGGATCGTCAAGGTGGGCGATGCTGGCGGCCTGACCGTGCGCCCTGCCCTGGGGGCCGCCGCTGTCCGTGCCTGCCTGGGGGAAGGCCCGTCGCCCGGGTCGGCACCGTGCCTGCCTCTCCTAGTTCCGCATGCCTGCAACAGCTCCTCGCCAGGCACAGGGCCACTGAGGTTTGGTGTTTGAAGGCCAGTCAACAGGACGCTTCCTTTCTCCGGCAGCAGGAACTCTCTCCCTCTCTCTGTCTCCGCCCCTCTCCCCACCTTTGCCGCCAGGAATCTCGGAACTAATTCCTGTATTACTGTACGCTCAGGGCAGACATTACCTCCGCCTGTGTAACTGATCCGTCTTTCTAGTTTTATTTTATGATGTCTTTTGTATGCGTATTCATTTCTAAATGGCTTCAGATATTGGGGGGTAGACAAATAGGGATAAATTGCTCACCAACTTCAGGTATGAAGGGTACAAGTCTCATGAAGCAGATGCTTAGAAAGGATTAAAACAGAGGGCAGTCTGTACTGGGCAAGCGTCCCGTGAGCCGCCGGGGGACACGAACATGGGATCCTATCTATGCATTGATTCAGAGACTCAGATTCCCCAGCTGAGACCCAAAAGGCTCATCCAAGCAAGGTGATTATTTCAGTGATGGTGCGTTAAAAAGAAACAGCTGTCAGCTTCCAAATACCCTCCCTCACCCCAACCCCCAGCTCTGCCCCCTGTCCAGACTGGGTGTGCAGGGCTGGGGGAGCAGGGCCCAGGGCCGCCTCCCACAGCCTGACGCAGGTAAGTGCTGCTGCTGGCTGACGGGCAGGGCAGGGTCCCCACCCGCCCCAGGGTGCCCGAGGTGGGCACGAGGAGCTCACTGCCTGTGGGTTTGCCCGAGGGAGGTGACCCGCTGGAGGCGTGGGGGGTGGTGTGCCAGGGTCCTGTGGGAATAAGCCCAGAGCCCGGATTCCACTCAAATGTGGCTCTTTAGGGGGGGGTGTGGAGATGAGGGCCCCTTCCCTCCCCGCCCCTTCTCAAGGACCCTGAACACAGCAGAAGAGTCCTCTCCCTTGCACCCTGAGCCAGAGTCGGGCTGCTAGGCGCTCCTGGCCTTTCCCAGATCCTCACCCTGCAGGGGGTGTCCCAGAGCGCATGCCTCCTTCCGAGGAAGACCACCAGGTCCCGAACTCCGGGACCATGAAGCTTCTTCCTGCTCCTGGGCGCTCACCCCCTGGTCCCCGGGCGCCCTCTGCTCTCTGGGGTACAACCATCATCTCCCCACTTCCCCCTTCCTTGCTCTCCCCTTGAGGGAGGGACCCTTAAGGACACGCTGCCTGGGCCACCCCGTTTCTCGCCGCCATGTGTGAGTGATACTGCTGGACGCCCCTAAGGGCCCCGCGGCAGTCAGTCACCAGCCCTGCACCAAGGGCATTTGACCCCATCTTAAATCCACAGGGGCTGCACAGGGTCTGGCTTGCCTCGTTGGAAGAATCAGGTACACGACAAAGGGGGTGCCTCAGCTGGTCCGTCTCAGTCCGGGGCAGTGGGGTCGCAGCCTATGGGACATGGGTGGCCCTTGGCTCTCACTGTGATCCAAATAAGGGACCTTCACAGCTCCTCGTGGGCATGCACATTCCAGGCTGTGGAGCCCTTTACCCGTCAGGAGATCTGGGGGGCAGGGCAGGGTGACTTCAGGCTCCCCATGGGGCAGAGGGTTGGAGCAGCCACCCCAGCTCAGGGTGGTAACAGGGCTCCCTTCCTTCCCATGGGGGTCGGAGGTGGGGGTCTGGCTTCTAGGGAGGCCTGGGGGCCAGAGGGGTGACGAGGGGCCGTGAGGGCTCATGGAACCCTTTGGGCGCCTGGCCTCCCTGCCCGGCTGCTCCGTTTGGGCTGGGGGAGCTTCCTGCCTCCTTGTCCCCGGCCTCACCGTGGATGTGCGTCATGGAGCCCAGAGCCCCAACCCCCGACCGGACGCACTCGTGGCTTCCTGGCCATTGGGGTCACTCCCTTGGGTGGCCCAGCGGTGGGCATGGGCCATCCGGACACTCGGGGGCTGTCCCAGGTGGGCGGGCTCCTGGGCAGGAGACCCCCGCATAGAGGGTGTTCCCAGCCGGGCTCTGGGAGGAGGGCAGAGCGTGCGCAGCCAGGGCCCCTGTGTGGCCGGGCCTGGGGGCTCCTCTGTGGCTCTGCCCTAAAGCCCTGGAACCAGGGGCTGCCCCCGCCGCCGGCCCGAGTCCCCGGCTTGGCCCACATTGAGGGCGGAGGCCGGTTTAAATTGGACGTGAGGTTGAGTAAAGCCAGGTGTGTTTTTCTTTTCTTTTTCTTTTAATGTTTTTAACTTATTTTTTAAATTAATTTTTTATAGTTTATTTATTTTTGAGACAGAGAGAGACAGAGCATGAGCAGAGGAGGGCAGAGAGCGAGGGAGACATAGAATCTGAAACAGGCTCCAGGCTCCGAGCTGTCAGCACAGAGCCCGACGCGGGGCTCGAACCCATGAACCACGAGATCATGACCTGAGCCCAAGTCGGTCGCTTAACCAACTGAGGCACCCAGGTGCCCCGTGTCTTTAATTTATTTTTGAGAGTGAGTACAAGCATGGGAGGGGCAGAGAGAGAGGGAGACACAGAATCCAAAGCAAGTTCCAGACTCCGAGGTGTCAGCACAGAGCCCAACGCAGGGCTCGAACCCACAAACTGTGAGATCATGACCTGAGCCCAAGCTCGAGCTCAGTAAAGTGAGCCCCCCAGGTTCCCCTTGGGTGTACTTTTCTTGGAAAGTGGCCGCAGGCAGGAGGGGAGGGGAGGCAGGTGGTTGAGGGTGGGGGGCTGCACTGCAGGGCCCCGTGGCGGCTTGCACTCGCAGCTTGCACTCGCGTGTGGGCTAAGGAATGTGTGCACGCGGGCTCCCCTGTGCAGGGGCTGAAATGGGGTCAGGCCGACTGAGCATCTCCTCCCAGAGGGTCAGTGGAACCCTGGGGCATCAGGGAAGTCAAGGTGGGGATGCGAGGGGCACCTCCCTGGGCATCTGAGCAGCTAGCCCGGCCCTGAGCCCTGGGGGCAGCTCGGGGGTGCTGTGCGCCCGCCCCGCCCCCGCTGGCTTTCCTGCACCGCTGCCCAGGCTCCCTTGCAGCGGGTTCTCGACAGATGCATTTACAGGAGACTTTGATCCTGGACTGTTACCTGGGGAGAAGCCAGGGCTGCTTGGGCAGACTGGCAGAGACGGAATGTTCTGGATTTGTGGCAGCTCCCAGCAAACACAGGAGCCTGGCATGGTTTATGGAGTCCTCTTTCCCAGAGGCTGCGTCTAAAGTCTGAGTCTGCTGCCCTCCCCGCTGCCTCTGACCTCTCAATAAACCCCTTTGTGTGTAAATTGGCTGGAGTGGATTCTCTTATCTGCATTTCTGTGACCCATGGGACCCAAACCACCCCTGCCCTCCTCACTGCAGACCTTGCCAGTACTGAAGCTTCCAGACCCAGCCCACCTGAGAGCCCACGGCTCAGGGGCAGGGGTGTGGTGGGTGCTTGAGCCAGCTCGTACTAGCTCCAACCGGATTGCGATGGCCAGTCGTTACATTGGGGGACAATCTGAGCCAGTGACATCATGGTGGCAGCTTGGGGCTGACTGTGGGGAGAGTCTTCACCCCAGGCGACCCGCCCCCCCCCCCCCCCACCGGGGCCCGGCACTATCAGGGATATTTCCATTTTCAGACAAGAAACGGAGGCTCTGAGGTCTGGAGGGGCCAGTGCCCAACTCCCGAGCGGGCTGTGGGCTGGGCTGGGCAGGAATCTGGGCCCCCTGGTGCCCGGGCCTGGAAGTTCTCATCCAGCGCAGACGGGCCGGGGCTGTCAGAACAGAGGCAGAGGCCTTGGTTCCGCCCCGGGCTGAAGCGCCCGGAGAGCAAGGAGGTCAGAGCCCCATCGGCGGCCTAGCCCGGCGACGCCAGCAGTGCAGGTCTGCCCCTGTCACCCTGGCAACGACACCGACCTCGGAGCGGGCACAGGGATGGCTGCCAGGCCGGCCGCCGGGCGTTGCTGGTGCCGTGGGCCGTGAGAAGCAGCTGGCGCCTGCTGGGCCCCAGGGTCAGGAGGTGGGGAGACAGCGTCCCAGGGTGGCAGGCGCACCGGCTGAGCTTCCCTGCGAGCCCAAGCGCTCTTGGAGAGGATGGGCATCCGAGGTGCGGGGGGAAGCAGCGGGGAGTGGGCGCAGTGTGGCCGCCAGGCAATGGCAGCAGATGCGGACATGGGGGCCCGGGGGTTCGATGACGTGCCCAAGGTCGCAGGCGCTGGTG